CACCTCCTCCTAAAATCCAAACTACGAATTCTCTGCATTATATTCACACCACACATTGCCCTCAGACATGACATCCCACTGCCTCCAGCCTTTTCCTCGCTGCAACATTCATCACCCACGCTTTCACACCCATATAAGACGTTGGTAAAACTATAACTCTCATACATTCCCCTTTTGCCTCCAAGGACAAAGTTCTTTGTCTCCACAGAACCCCTAAGTGCACCACTCACTCTTTTTCCCTCATCAATTCTATGATTCACCTCATCTTTCATAGACGAATCCGCTGACACGTCCACTCCCAAATATCTGAATACGTTCACCTCCTCCATAAATCTGTCCCTCCAATCTGATATTCAATCTTTCATCCCCTAATCTTTTTGTTATCCTCATAACCTTAAACTCTTTTCCTGTATCACTTTAATTTTCTTCTTTTGCACACCCTCCCAAATTCATCCACCAATCTCTGCAACTTCTCTTCAGAATCTCCCAAGAGCACAGTGTCATCAGCAAAGAGCAGCTGTGACAACTCCCACTTGGTGTTGATTCTTTATCTTTTACTCCACGCCTCTTGCCAAGACCCTCGCATTTACTTCTCTTTCAACCCCATCTATAAATATATTAAACAACCACGGGGACATCACACATCCTTTTCTAAGGCCTACTTTTACTGGGAAAAAATTTTCCCCCTTTCCTACATACTCTAACTTGAGCCTCACTATCCTCGTAAAAACTCTTCACTGCTTTCAGTAACCTACCTCCTACCCATACACTTGCAACATCTGCCAACATTGCCCCCCTATCCACCTGTCATACCCTTTTCCAAATCATAAATGCAACAAAGACCTCTTTTGCCTTATCTAAATACTGTCACTTTATATGTTTCACTGTAAACCCTGGGCCACACACCCCTTTCCTTTCCTTTAAAAGCCTCCTTTTCATCTGCTTCCTATTTTCCGTCTTACTCTTAATTCTTCAATAATAACTCTACCATACACTTTTCCAGGTACACTCAACAGACTTTTCCCCTATAATTTTGCACTCTCTTTTTATCCCCTTTGCCTTTATACAAAGGAACTATGCATATATATTATAAATATATATATATATATATATATATATATATATATATATATATAAATATAAAATATATATAAAATCTGGTCTGTATTCTCAATATTTCTGAAAAGAAAAGAACGGTTTTCACTCTTAGTTTATTACGAGTTTTTCTCCGGTGCGAGATGAGGGAGTGCTGGCGACGCCCCGTTGGCGTTATGGATTATACAGGTAATTCCAGGTGTGAGGATGGTAGGGGGGGGTTTGGGAGAGCAGGAGAATGAGAATGAAATAAGAGAAAGTTGGGAATAGTTGAAATAAGGGGATGAGAGACTTTTAACGAAAGGGGGATAAAATATAAATAGGAGATGAGAGACTGGAAGATAAGATGAGAGGACAGAAATAAAGGAATGTTTAAAACGGGACGAAAGGAATGAGAAATGGGGAAAAAGAAGAAAAGGCGATGAAAAGCAAGGGGCTCTGCAATAGAAATGATAGAAACGAAAATGGTGAGGAATGAAGAGAAAAGGAGGGAGGGAAAGGGTACAGAAAAGGGTAAAAAAGTGAAGGGTATTAAAATCGATAGAGGGGGACAGAAGGGGAAAAATATGGAAGTATTGTAGTGGGAGATGATGGAT